CATCACTGGATTTGAATCATTGCATTTTGCTTACATTCACCACAATAAAGTACCATTAATAGCAGAAACACGGTATAGGAGACATACCAGAGTAAGCAGATTGACAACAAAAATTACACAGATGCACTGTGTAACCTGCAGATGCACTATGTAACCTGCAGAGCATAGAAAAGCATCATCAAAATAAACAAAAACATAGAACACACCAACAGACAAGAAAGAAACAAAACAACAGACACTTAAGGAAGCAATTCTACAAACAACGAACCTCTGAAATTCACCCATCTTCTATACCTTAACCTCTACATCTTACATTCGGATTTGAAGCGCTAATCTGAAATTGAAGGATCATCACCTTGATAGAAGGAATAGGTGTATCAAGATTACTATCCTAATTAGATGAACAATTTATCCAATTTTTAATACTATCTGAGACCAAAATTAGACAATTCATAAATAGTGAAAGTAAACCCAACCCTAACCCAAAGTGATTGACGGTGGAGCCTGAGACCAAATACTCTCACGTTACTTACAAACAAAGGCGCACATAATCGAGATGCTCTTGAGGAATAATTTATTACCGGAGTGCGAAGCTTTAGACGTTGAGTATCCTTTAAGAGCAAATTGCTTCATAATCCACAATTCTCTTTCCCCAATTGAATCATTGCGATTGTTATGCTTCTTCTCCGGCTTAATTCCCCCTAGGCGAATAGTCGCGCGTTGCCCAACGTAAAATTACGTACTTAAAATTTTGACAAATAAATATTAAAATTAATATATATTATTGATATTTATATCATAACACCTTTCATATTTTACCCTAATATTACATGTTATTCAAAATACAACGTTTTCATTTTTAGAAATATATTAATGTTTTTTTTCTTTTGTATTTGATGGGTTCTTTTCTACCAAAGCCAAAACATCCAATAAGTACTACGAAATCTATGTTTGTTTATCACCACACACCTCTATTGCTATGCTTTAATCCAAATTACGCAACTGCAAATGCACAAAGTGACATTTATATCCATTAATATCAACTAAGTAAATAATGTGATGTACTTATTATTTGTCAAATGCATATCGATGCATCATATTAATTTTCATATTCCAACATCGGCAAACTAAAACCACATAGGCATAGTTTGGATACCAACATCTAATTTCTATTAGAGACTAATACAAACACACCCTTGCCACAAAAATGTTTGGTTGAGACTAAAGGTATATATACAAAAAAATGAAAGCTAAAAGGATTACATTCTCATGACTTGAAAATGAGCATGGCAACTCATTGGTATCGGTTGTAACAGTACAACATTAAAATATGCATGACATGCATTTAGTTCACATGCGATAATTTATAGGATCAAATAGGAAATAATGACTTTAATGGAAACTAAGACCAATTGACATGTAAAACAATTTATATGTAGCAATACATTTGCTAATATGACTTCAAATTTTCCAATATCTTCTAGGGTTCAATAAATCCACCTTGTGTGATGCCAATGATGAATATTTCATTGTTTCCATCTTTTTTTATATTCTTAAATATTAAAATGGTTTTAACAAAAAATATTAATAAAAATAAAAATTCTTACACGCATGGACACATATGGAAGTGTCAAATAGTGAAGTTAGAATTAATTTCCATTGTTGAAGGAATGATGATGAAAACCGAATCTATTCAAAGAATTTAAAATGATCAGCAAGATTTGTTTGTGTTTGCATGAGTCAAATATTAATTTAGTACTTGTAGTGAATGAAGTTAGGTGCATCTTTATGCAAAAGTTTCTACCCCAAATATAACATGTGACATACCGGAAGCAACCATCAGTTGGTAAAAACAAAAAAAATTTATTGAAATTTATATGAAAAGCAATACACATATAAAAGTCTTTTTTCCTTCTTTAAAGATCCTTAATCCTTGCAAAATATGACAAATATGTTCCTATTATTCACCGTATTTATACTTGGTCTTGTGAAGTTTGATGTTGTTCATGTTATTTTTACATTAAAAAACCAATTAATAATCATTATTAAAAAGTCTTTTTTCCTTCTTTAAAGATCCTTAATCATTGCAAAATATGACAAATATGTTCCTATTATTCACCGTATTTATACTTGGTCTTGTTAAGTTTGATGTTGTTCATGTTATTTTTACATTAAAAAACCAATTAATAATCATTATTAAAAAGTCTTTTGAGTGGTATTAATTAAATTAGGGGGTTTCAAATGCATAAGAATCAAGGAAATTAAATTAGGGGGTTTCAAATGCATAAAAATCAAGGAAATTAAATTAGGGGGTTTCAAATGCATAAGAATCAAGGAAAAATGCTTTATTTATAAGATACTAGGCGAACGTCCGCGCGTTGCGCAGAAACACCTATATAGTTGAAATCTTTACAAATATATGTTTTTTTAATATAACAATAACGTTGTTGTTAAATTTGATATAATAATTCGTATAGTAAATTGATATAATATATTGATTATTTTGAATTATATGATAATATATACATCTGTTATAACTGCATAATCTCAACCATTTGAATGACTTCTACCCTCGAGTTACTCATGATTAAAATTAAATATAATATATGGTTTAATATTATTTAAAGTTGTTATTGTTAATTAATTTTTTAAAATTTATTTCCTTAACGTTTTAATTTCTATCATTATAATTATTTAAAACATCAAACATTGTTTTTTGATTTTAAAGGTAACAATATAATCACTTATATAGAGTTATTTTTAACTATTGTTATTGTAAGTTATTTTAATATAATCACTTTATATAGAGTTATATAGAGTTATTATACAACGATTATATGTTTTTTTTAATATAACAATAACGTTGTTGTTAAATTTGATATAATAATTCGTATATTAAATTGATATAATATATTGATTATTTTGAATTTAATGATAATATATACATCTGTTATAACTGCATAATCTCAACCATTTGAATGACTTCTACCCTCGAGTTACTCATGAATAAAATTAAATATAATATATCGTTTAATATTATTTATAGTTGTTATTGTTAATTAATTTTTTAAAATTTATTTCCTTAACGTTTTAATTTCTGTTATTATAATTATTTAAAATATCAAACATTGTTTTTTAATTTTAAAGGTAACAATATAATCACTTATATAGATTTATTTTTTTAATTGTTATTGTAAGTTATTTTAAGCTACTTATTTGAAAACCTTTAACGATTATACAAGTATCTTTAAGAGATATTTTAGTTAAATTGAGATTATAATTTAGTTTTTTCATTAAGCACTACAATTTATCATGTTTAACTATTCATAAAATATTCATTGAGTTTTTTAAGTGGAACTGAAATTTATATTTAAGTTGACATTGTAATGTTATATTTAAATTAACAATTTAAGTATCTTGTCTAAACTGTTCAAAAGTTATAGCTTTAAATTGATAATGGCTTACATACAACAACATATTAAATATAATAAATTAAGTATAATATGTTAAAAGTTAAAGACATAAATTTATAATTAGAAGTAAATATATTATTTTAATATTGAAATTTAATTTATTTATGATTACACTTGAGGTTTGATATTTATTTAACCTTATTAACCAACTTATAATCATTATTATAAAGACACTACAACATATCACTTTTAACTATTTACAAAATATTATTTGGGTTGTTTAACTTAAACTAAAATTTATATTTAAGTTGATCTTGTAATGTTATATTTAAATTTATAATTTAAGTATTTTGTATAAATTGTTCAAAAGTTTGTAGTTTTAAAAATGATAATGGTTTACATCCAACAATATATTAAAATAAATAAATTAAGTATAATATGTTAAAAGTTAAAAAAACATAACTTTATAAATAGAAATAAAGATATTCTTTTAATATTAAATTTTAGTTTATATATGATTACACTTTAAGTTTGATATTTATTTAATCTTATTAAACAACTTATAATAATTATTAGAAAGAAATTGAAAAGACATGCGAGTTTCAAATGAATGTGGTGAAAGGAAAAATGCATGGGAGTTTCAAATGAATGTGGTGAAAGGAAAATTGCTTCCTTTATAAGTATATATAGATATAGATAGATATAGATTTTTTTATCAATCACAATTCACAAGTTCACGCCAAGATTTTTTATTTATTTATTTTTTTTAGTGCCCCGCAGAGCAGAACATTAGGGCTTTCGACGATGTTCAGGCCCAATTTAGTTTGGGTCGGACCTGTGTAATGATGTTGGTAACGTTGCCGGTTGGATAATCTATATAAGACAAGTCTTGCAATGTATAAGTGTGAGATTGATTAATTAGATTGTTTTGTCCTGGTTGCAAAAATAATCTTTATGCAAGTAACTATCTATAAATGTGAATCTTGATTGTAAAATATATTCATTAGGTATGTAAAAAATATGTTTTAAATGAAAATTGGGAGAACAAGGTCTATTTAGAAATCTTACCACTTGATTGCCATGGGAATCTCCATAATGAGAGCTTTTGTGCTAGAAGCCAAAAAAAAAAGAATGTCTGAAACCGAAAAACTAATCCTGTAGAACCAAAAATTCAAAACCGAGAAAACCTTAACTGCAAGGTTTTTTTTTTCCTATAAACCAATATAGCATACTTAGCTCTAGTTAATTTCAAACAGAATTTCAATGAAGTAATAAAACATATTTTCTCAATACAGCTAAGATTTTAATTCTATAAAAATATACACCAAGAAAGTAGGAACGTAAAACAAAAAGTAGACAAAGTAGGAATGTAACACACATATATGGAACGAAATAAATCCAAAACCATGGGTTGCAAAATAAATGACATACATCAAAATATCCAAAACAAAGGGACATCAAATCACATAAAAAAGAAGATATAACTGATCATTCGTCCCCTTTGAACCAAAGGGTGTGTGACAACTAACAACCAAGCAATAAATTGCAATTTGCAACACATGCAAAGATCAGAAAGACTAGTATCATTCATATATGAGATTTAACTTTCAACCATTCATTTGGGATGTACCATGTGTCTGCAGTAAAGAACATGCCATTTCCACTTGTATCACTGTAAGCATTTCTCTTGTAACGCAACCACGAGTCAGACAACAACTCTCGTTTGATAGCAGCACTATGCTTCAAGCCACTAACAAAAAAGGCATATTCTTCCATTGTCTCTTTTTTTGGAGACACCCATTTCATTTCCCCAAAATCTAGTTCGTGAACCTTGAACTTATTGTCAGGAAAGCATTCCATAGCATAAAGGTTTTCATCCGTGCATACAAACTCCATAAACTCCAAGCGATATCCCAGAAAATTATTGGCTTTGAGTAAGATCAGTTTAGGCTCTGGATCAAGTCCTATTTCATGTACAAAAGAATCAGCGTCTATGGCATATATCTTCCCCTTGAATTCATGTAAAATCACGGATGGGATACTTAGAGTAAACACAATTCCATTCTCCTTCACCCGCTATTGAAAACCATATTTTATAGGTGTATCTATGTAAGACCACAAACACCCATGCTGATATTGAAGGTGAAAAGACTAGAATAGCCCTGACTCCTTCTTGATTAGGAGAGACTGAATAGGGGGCATTAGGAAAATGAAGTCCATGCCTTGTGATATGATTCACAAGCCAAAAGTCATGGCTTCTCCTCCCAAACAAGACCAAGTAACCACAAGTTAATCCAACACAGGTCCTACGATCAGATTTGGGAAGGAGAATTATGGAATTTCTTCCTTCAAAGTCCTCTACACAGTACTCTTTCTTATTACCATGTTTAGTGATCCATATTGCCATGGGTGGTCTGGATGCCATAAATCTGGTTTTTTTAGAGAGTGCAACTGACCTCCATGACTTGCAAACTCCACTAAATGAAAGAAAATCAAAGGCTCCGAGTTGCATCAATACTAAAAAAAGCAAACCATGGTTAAGATCTGACCAAGGTGCCCCACCACTGTTGTCACTAGTCCAGAAACTCTTCCTGCTAGATGCATTACCATGGCTGTTGGACGTACTCTTTGCCTTAATCATTCTTGCATTTCAAAAAAGAAAAAACAAATAAACATAAGACACACTAGTTATAAACATGGGACAAGCATAATCAAAGGATCCTCAAGCAAAAAATGAAAACGTTACATTTAAATGTTTAATGAAAACCTTACATTAAACCAAAATACCAAATTCAATCAAACTAGTTAAAATCCCTTTATCTGTATATTTCTATGAACAACTATAGTGTTTTTGACACTTAAAACTGAAGAACATAAGAATGAATGAAATTCATGGGTTTCAAAGTTAGGAATGGATTTCATTTGCCCGATATGTAGTAAAGGAAAAAGATGCAGCAACAAGTTAGTGACTCATTGTTTAGTATTGATGAAACTGAAAGTAAAATACTGCAAATGCTGATTATGGCTTCGTCGACCATAAGCTGATAAATATCGGAATCCTTTCAAATCACTTATAAACATAGACGCACAAAATCGAGATGTTATTGTGAAATAGCTTACCTGACCAATGAGGGAGGAACTTGAGCTGTTGAGCCGGTTTAAGAGCTAATCGGTGACTTTCTCGCCATGTATCGATTGGAATGGAATCGTTGCAGTTGCTTCCGTTTGCGATGTTTTCTCTTGAAATCCTTCGTCAACACTCCTCTTTTATCCTTGAGGTAACGTGTGTTTCCTTTCCAGATTTCGAATTCAAAAAAGGAAGGACCCGTTTTTTAATTTTTTCTTATTTATTAAATAATAATAACAACATGTAATGGGTCCACAACTAACAAACTAGATTACCCCCGAGCCCACAACTTAAGTCTGGCTTGCCCTCTGGGCCCACAACTTATGTCTAGCTTGCTCCCTAGTCCTCAGTACGAGTTGGAATGTTACTGATCCATCAGTATGAGTCTGGCATGCCATATCCGGCCCTCAGCTCATATCTGGAATGCTTATGAGTCCTCAGTATGAGTCTGGCATGCCCTCCCTGGCCACCAGCTCATATCTGGCATACTCCAGGGTTTGTTGGTTACAGCACGAAGCAGAACAACCTCAACCCAACCCACACAATATTTCGACATATAACAAATAATATCATATACATATAAACAGACAGTATCACAAGTAGTCCTACAGATCTACCAGACTAGCATATCAAAACTAGCATGCATATCTATCCCATACTCAGCATAACAGTATCATGTTATCAAACGAATAGGCCGGCCTTGGTGCTTTCGACCCGAAAGTATAGTGAGGAAAATTCACCTCTCAAGTAGCTGAACTGATAAGATCTAACTCTGAATCCTGACTCTTGACTCGAATGCCTACAACTACCATGACCAATTCTATCAACATCTCGAAATACCCAAAATGCCCTCAAAAGTCAAACTTGGTCAACCATGGTCAAAGTCAATGTCAACGGTCAAGGTCAACAGTCCATGTTGACCCAACTTGTCGAGTGTACCTCTTGGACTCGTCGAGTTCTGCAGAACTCAGAAATTCGGGGAAAACCCTTACCAACTCGTCGAGCTGGCTGAACAACTCGCCGAGTTTTCCCAGATTTAACACATACGGCTGATTCTTCGATTTCAGAGACTCAAAGGCTCAGATCTAAACTCCAAATGTGTCTAAAAGGATAAATTTTCCAACTTTATCCTTTGGGACTACTCCAAATGCTCAAAAACCCATCTACAAGGCTTGAAAACTTAAAAGCTTAACCATTAAGCACAAATCCTTGAGATCTAGAGCCCAACCTTAACCAAGAGAGATTCTAGCATTAAAAATGTCCCAAAGGTGGGTGTTTTATAAACATGCATGTCCAATGCATGTCTTGAACCAAAAATGAGCCCAAAAAGGGGGAAACATGACCTAAATTCCATGCATGGCATCAAAACTTGGCAAAAGTCCAGATCTAACCCACTCCAAGGTCACCTTGGCCTGGAGATTGATAAAGTTGCAAGATTTATGAATCCCATCCATTGCAACACCCAAGAATAAGGAGAAAAAGGGACCAAAATCAAGATCTAGCTACATAGATAGATAAAAATTCGAATCTAGAATACTTACAATGGTCCAAAGAGTGCCAAACTACAGATGTGAGCTTAGCTTGCTAGATCCTTGCCTCCTTCCTTCACTCTTCTCCCTCTTTACTCCAAAAAGCCACACACTAACTCACATAATAAGGTGGAATGAATATTAGGGTTTACAAGGCCGATATTAGGGTTTGGAGGCTGATAAAAGATCAGCCTCAAGGACTTAAGGATGTTATATAGGGTGCAAACCCTAAAATTTAGGGTTTCTCAACCAGCCGCCAACTCGTCGAGTTTTTCCATACCAACTCGTCGAGTTGGTCCAAAAAGGAGCGCGACCCAAAAATTCTCAACACGCCGAGTTGAGGTCGTCAACTCGACGAGTTCCAATGAAAAATTTCTTTTGAATAATAAATCTCATACCTGGGAATCGGGATGTTACAATATCATCAACATATAGAAACATATATATGTAAGAATCTGGTGACAATTCCTTTTAGTAAACACAATTATCAAACCGGTTCCGAGTGTAGCCATTCGAGATCATGAATGCATCAAATCTCTTGTACCATTGTCTTGGAAACTTCTTCAAACCATACAAAGATTTCTTCAGCAAACATACTTTATCCTTCTTAGAATCGAGGAGCCCTTCCAGCTGGGACATATGAATCTTCTCTTATAAGTTCCCATGAAGAAATACAGTTTTCACATCAAGCTGCTCAAGCTCCAGATCAAATGCACTCACCGTGGCCATAAGAAACCAAATTTTCTTGTGCTTCACGAACGATGAGAACACCTTGTGATAATCAATTCCTTCTTTCTTAGAAAACCCTTTCGCCACCAACCTTGCCTTGAACCTAGATGGTTCAACTCTTGGTATCCCTTCCTTCTTCTTAAAGATCCATTTCAATCCCAGTGGCTTTGCTTCCTTTGGTAATGGAATAAGATCTCATGTTTCATTCTTCTCTAAAGATTGAATTTCTTCATTCATGGCCATCAACCAGTCATTTTCTTCTTTACTCGCCACAACCTCTTTATACGATTGAGGCTCCTCAGTGACAGATTCAAGTTCACCTGAATTCACACATCCTACATATCTATCAGGTTGTCAAATAACCCTCTTTGATCTTCTCTTTGCTATAGATTCAGACTGTAACATCCCAAAATTCATGACCAAAAATTTCATTTTTAATTAAGTAACTGTAAAAACCAATGATTTGAAAACATTCATAGTATCATCTCATATCATAATGAAACCAATATCTCAAAAACTAAGTCATGTCATAACAATAAAATCAGAGTACAACTCCCAAAGATCTCGTGTGCGGAATACCATAGTGTGATGTGTTGCGATCATGCCGACTCCTTTCCCTTCGAAGTAGAAGCACCTGAAACCAAAACTGAAAACTGTAAGCACGAAGCTTAGTGAGTTCCCCCATCATACCACATAATCACATACTGCTAGGCATATCTGTTGGATTAGTGTCTCAGTCCATAACTACAATTGATATATACTTGACCCGACCCGCATGGTCCATTTGGGTTGCATGGCATCGGGACATTTGGATAGACCTTTTGTGAGAAGAGGATATTTGTGACATATTAATATATTATAAGTTCTAATATATTAATATGAAATCATATTATTTAATTAGTATTGATCAAGAATTAATTTGGAATTAATTTAGTGATCAAAAGAGACTAATTAAATATATGGGGATTGATTGTGTAAATCATTCATTCTTATATATGTGGGCTTATGATCCATGATTCCTTATGTTGGGTTTAGCCCATGTGGTGACCCATGGATACTCCATGGAGGTGTAAACCCATGGAGCATAAGGAATGGGTAAAGTGATGGGTTACATGGTGTAACCCTAATGTGCACACTATATAAAGACCCCATTGGTTGGTGAAATGGGCACTAGTGCATACACAAGAGGGCAAGCCAATTTCTATGAGTCAAGTATCCTCTCTCATGGTTATTCCAAGATGTTCATGATGTTGTGTGAACCATTTGAGGTGTCACACTTGGGGCACTAGGCTCTTAAGCTTCATGGAATCAAGCTACAACCAAGAGGTATGTATTCTATCTACTTTCGTTATCCTATTACATATGATATGCTAGTTAGGGTAATACCTTGGAAAATTGATATTTTCATGTATAATAGAGAAAACATAGATCCAAGGTATTTAGGGTTGCATGTACACCTTAGGAGTGTTAGAATGCTCAAAACCCAACAGTGGTATCAGAGAGCCTATGCTTGTTTTCGATTATACTATATGCAAATTGCTGAAAAAGCTGAAAAAAATCGATTTTCTGGTTGTCTGGGCACTGGACTCGCCGAGTCCATGAAGAAATTCATCCTACTTGTCGAATAGGTTCATGCACTCGACGAGTAGATGCCCCTGACAGCATATTTTCGACTTTTAAGGCTGGAATTGGTCTAGAATCATTACCTTAAACTGTTTTGGACTTATAAAACCTGTTTTTAATGTGGTAATTATTTTGGTAAACCAATTTCAAAGCTATTATCAAAGTTTCAAGTTTTATATATGTTTATATGATTCTTGAAAATTGTTGATATGGATTGTTCATGCTTATGAGTTTTGGTATATCATAGGAATTATGTGCAAATTGTTTGTTGGTGTAATTCTTGATCTTAATGACATTGTATGGACTCCATAACTTGTCCTCAAGTTATGGATTACCAAGTTTTTTGTGTCACCTTGTTTTATGAGTTAATTTAGATTAATGGAAAAATTATGTGTTAGTTGTTTTCAATCCAAATTGATCTAAAAGTAGTTCACAAAATGTGTTTTTGTAACTTGTTCTCAAGTTATATGAAAAGTCACATTTATGAATCTTAAAACTCATAAAAGTGCCATAGGTTACACAAATGAAGAGTCATCTTTGTCATAAATAGTTTTATGAACTTCATAACTTGTCCTCAAGTTATGGATGTTCAAGAGTCTCTTCATTAAAGTTTTTTTTAAAACTTTAATTAAA